CTGAATGACCAGATATTCAATCTACCATATACATGACGTTGCTTTTGAAGATCGCGGTAATTTAATTGAATATAAGAATTTTGTATTCAATGCTCATTTGTTTATGTAGTAAAACATTATGAAATAGTCACTATTATAAACCTGTATTCAGAACATAAAATCGATTTTCTTTATGGTTAGATTTTATTTTCCTCAGGTTAATTTTATATTAATTGCACTGCTTGCTGACCTTCCTATTCATTCCCATTGTGATGTTGCATGATTTTGTTTTCGAGCTTCACCGCTGGTTATCGAGAAGAGTCCTGGTTTTCATTGTTCACTCATTCACTTTCATAAGTCGCTCATTCATCGGCTCTTCAAATTTCCTGATAGTTCGCTTGAGTAATATAAGACTTTGATTGCGGAAAGAAAACTACTGAAGTTAGAAAAATGGAAACTATAAATTTAAATTTTCTTATTACTATGTATGTGATAAATATAAAATGATTTTTACTTTCTCGTACACATACGTATACGCAGTAAGTAACGCGTAAGTCCTGTTGGAAAAAAATGTTCGAAAAAATCTATTTTGATATTTCAAAGAAAGTATATGCTCTTAGATCCCCTGATACCAAAAGAATGTTATTTCAAAACTTCTTTGTGTCCGTCCATTCATAATGTATGAACAATGTCAGCGCATGAACTCTGCATGGTTTTTATCAAAATCAGTATTCGCCGATCTTTCTGGACTGATTTCTCTGCGTGTTCTGCGTGTTTGAAATGTAGTTTGATTGATTGAAGTTTGGAGGTACATTACACGAAGCCCCTGGGACATTTTTAAAACTTTATGAATATGGCTCCACCGTTTTTCTTTACATTTATTGTGATAATAGAGTGAAATACTCTTATAAAAATGTCTTAGGACTTACGTTTTCGGTTGTCTCTGAAGTTGCTCAAGTTAAAAAAGTTCCTGGCGTATTCTTACAGCAGCAGTATCAAAGATGAAGATTCTTTTTTTTAATTAAACTTGGTGTTCAGTTATAAATAAATGCCACAGTTTTTAAAAAAATATTCACGAAGTTTTGAATAAATATGAGATTTATTAAAACCAAGACTTTTTTTTAAAAAAATATAGCTTCACTTTTTCTTTAAATGTTCTGTACGAACAGTGCTAAATGCATTCAATAACTTAGCATAAACGCCATTTTGATGTATTCAGTTTATTTTTCAAAAATCATACAAATAGCGCTTTCAAATGAAAATTTTTTCAAATGATTTCTTGAATGATGAAGTTATCTTCGAAAATTTGTTCAACGTTACACAGTTTTAAAAACGACCAAAATCGTTTATAAATGTTTTAACGAAAATTTTCATGAAGGACATGTTTACACTCTTCTGTATTATATTTAAAGTGGTATTCCAATCCTATCATTAGGGGACCCATAACTGAGAAAATTAGGAAAAAGGATCTTTTGGGCTTGAGTAGAGAGGCAGTTGGGAAGGGGGTGGGACAAAACCTAAGCGTATCCAGGAAAAAGTGTTTAGGAAAGAAACGAGTATGAGAAAGGATGTGCCATCTCTAGCACTTCTTGTTCAATATCAAACTTCTGAAGGACTGAATAAGTGTGTTATGTAATGTTATTCTGAAAAGGGGTGGTTTCGGCAATTCTCAACGCATATAGGTATTACGGGTTGCGTCGCAATGACGCCTTTGGTGCTGGACCGGGCAGAGCAGGATGTGCCTGAGAGAGCGTGCGGGGCGGGTCAAAATGTAACGTGGCGAGATATTGCGTTGCATATAAATAAAATAAGTTTTATTTCATCTTTTTAATACAATTCATTCCTTTTCTAGTCTTATAGATAATGAACACTCCAAAAACGCTGTATGTTTGTTTGTTTTTTTGTTCTTGATTTTTAGTAGAGAACGTATAATTTTCTGGTGTTTCTATTCTTGAGAATATTTATGAGTTAGTTGTTGGCTGCTACTTCACCCGCTGCAAATACTTATTTGTCTTTTTTTTCTTGATGAATTTATGCTTTATACTTAGCCTTAGGCATTGCATTTATTTTTTCCTCGGTACTACGTTGTTCACATGCTGCTGACTGACGCAGTGGCAGTTTCATTCGTTTCGCTGCCCCAGAGGTAATTTATCTCTTCAAAATGTATATTTTCATGTATGTTGTTGCCTTGTATTCGTTGTTACATCCTTCGCTGTCGAGTTTTTGTATTCCATCAGAAAAATAAGAAATTGCAATGTGAACGCATTTTGACAGAATTAATTTTGGTTTAATTAATTGCCAAATACGTATGTCAGAACAAAATGAAAAATGATAAACGGAGTGTTAAATACGTACAATATGAGATAGTATTTAAAGATCTTATTTATTCATTATATTTATTTTCCATTTTTAACAATTCTAATTGATTTTGAAGATAGTTTTTAGATTTTCTTGTGGACGTCACATTGTTTTCTCCCTTATACATAGGTACATATTGTAGGTTGAAGTGTACTCTCTCATTAAATAGCTTTTGTGTCGTCACATTTTGCCACAAACACGTTCCTTAAAAATTAACTGCAAGGTTTAAATCATTTTCTTTCTGCAAAATCCTCTATAACATTTCAAAGAAGAGAACTTTTTGCAAATTTTATGTAAGAGAAAGGAAATCAGTGTGTCAGAATAGGGAACTAACTGAATTGCAGATATGTCTCATAATATGAATCCTAAACAAATTGTGAATGAAGATTTCTACATTCGTTGTACAATTTACATGACAAATCGAGTTTCTGAGTTAGAATTCTGAGCAATTCCACATTATTAAACAATGTTCAGGACTCATGTTAGGTACATACCTAAGTGTTAAAGATTGTAATTGCGCATCAATACTTGAATACATTAATTTCATCACTGATACAAGAATTTTAGAGTGTTAATTTTATTTAGTGTCAGTTACAACAAATATGGTTGTATATATGTTCAATGTAATACATGTCAAGTGTTTGCAGATAATTTCCACTCAGTTTTAATTTATGAACATAAAATACTTATGACAAGAACAAATTTCCGTCTTTTTAACACATTTCACATATTTTTCCTCACTTATCAATTGATTTGGTTGCCTCATTCCCTTCTCGCCTTCTTCTTTCCTATTTCCGCCGCCCCTCCCTCCTCCACGGCAAGCTCGCGTCGACGTGCGATTTCGTGCGACACCTGGCTGGCGCGGGTTAATGTTGGTTTTTCATGTTCCACGAAAGCCGATAGCGGTGGCGGCGGCCGGGGCGATCTGATGGAAGGCGCGCGTTCCAAGTGACGGCGGCTGGGCTGGGGCGGGTGCAGCTATCGGCGCCTGAAATATCGCCTTGTAAGGGATCGCCGTCGTCGACACGGCGCGGCCTCGCGCCCTTATCGCGCCAGCTATCGCGCTACATCTCGCGGCGGCGCGCGCCGACACGGGGAACCCCCGCCGCGCCGCCCCGGCCGAAACTGAACCACCCGCTTCGCCGGCCCTGGAGTAAGGCGGCGATCACAGTGAAGCGTATTTCGATCGAAATTTTGGTCGGGCTTTTGCGTTCGATTCACGGAATTATGGAAAATTTGACCGATTTTGGGGTGCACCATTCTGATATTTTTCGGATGATATATGACGGATGACTTCGCTCGCAGTCGTCCGTAAGCAAGCGTCCTATATTTTGGCTGCGCTATGACCGTAGCCTAAGGCTCTTGCGACCGATACGGACTATGTTCGTCTTCTTAGGTTTTCGAAGATCTCAGTTGCATTTATGGGGAGAGTGAATATTGGAAATTAGATAATTGTCTGGGTGAACCTCCTGTGAGTTTGCGGTTAGTTGCTCTTGCTAATATGTTTTAAATGTCTGGCTACTACCTGAAATGATCCAAAGATATCGCCCTGAACCTTACATATCTCCTTAAAATTGTACAAAAGCATTTTTTCTCGTGTTTTTTAAAATTTCAAATGATATGCAATGTTTGCACTGAATTTACATACTACATTTGCATACACTGAATTTATTAGCGTTATATGCTGGTTACGTTTAACTGAAAGTGTTAGGGTATAAACCTTTAAGGTTAATTACTGCATTTTCCATTATTTAATTCTGCTAGAAACTCTTAGGGAATATAGTTTCATGACCAACTTTTCTATTGAACATTTGATCAGAATTCTATTCAATATTTATTTCTTTTTACACCTTTCAAATTACCGTCGAATCATTGGCATCCAATTTTGTGTGTGATCACGAACAATCGAATATTATAATGGATATATTACCTTGCAATATTGTGCATTATTTATTGCGAAGACAATTTGT